TAAAATACAAATACACAGAATCTTAAAAGGCATGGGAATTTTCATTTTCTCTTAACCACAAAACTAAAACAAACTACCTCTCAGTGGCTCCCCTGGCCCTACAGCCAATGTGGATGAATGGAAATCTGGAACAGGCAATTTCTGAAGTAACTTATCCACCAAGCTCTAGCCTGGAGCAGGCCCAGGTCTTTTAGAGCCTGGGCAGGCACCTCAGCCCCTCCGAAGAGGGCTCACAGTGCTCCTGTACCCATCAGCCTCTGACCCTTCAGGAATTTATTTCCCTTATTCTCTTATTCTCTGGCTACTTTCACTTTCTTCCTTTCTTTCCTTTTTCTGTTTTCTGTGAGGATACAGGACACAGATATTGTGAGACCTAGTGAGGAAAAAATAATGCCAACATGAGATCTGGAAATAACTTCTAGGTTTCATTAACCATCTCTTGGCTCCTACCTTCTTCCAGATGCTAACCATATTTTAAGGTCCAGTTCTGCAGATTGAACTACTTGGTTTAGGTTCTCTAGAAACCCAGGTTTCTCTAGAAAAGGAACACAGCATAGTGGGAGCTGAAGTCAAATACAAGGTCTGAATTTGATGGAAATCTAAGTGACTGCCTCAGTGACCGGCCTATCTGCCTTTTCTCAGTCAAACACGAGATCTGAAATTGAAGTTATCACCTTATGAAATGTCCTCTCTGCCCTTTCTTACTAGCCCTGGAAAGCTGGGGTCATTTCACTTGCTTCTCATCCTTCTCAAGCCTATGGGAGGCAGACCAGAGCACAGTCACCAAGGGCAGATTGACATAGGACAGAAAAGACCGTCATTGCTTCATTCTAATGTGGCCATGCACTGAGTTGCAGAGGTCAGGCTTGACTGGATCATCATGGTTGATGCCAAGGGTCTGCATAGTCATCAGCACTAGCTGTCAAATGAGATTTGGGACCTGATTTTACGAACTTCCAAATCCTGCCAGGCAACCTGTACACAACACACAGCTTAAAGCTCTGTGTAATCTACTAGGAAGTTCTCAAAGCAGTTTCTACAAGAGCAATTTCTTTCTATATGCTAAAAAAATAAGTAAACATGACTTAACGTTCTTGCTGCTCTACGTGTCCTAATTAAGCAAGGATAAAAACATTCTTAATGGGATTGAAACAGTTATTTGTGCTTTTGAATCATGTATTATAATCTTAGTCAAAATCAAGTTCATGGTGGCTGAGGAACTGTACTTTTTCCAGAAATACGATGCACAAGTAAGACTGACCATGGACCATAGAACCGGGTTCCCTGTTCCACTCCCAATTCTGTCTAAAGATCACCCTTCAAAGCCTGGCTTGAGCACCTTTTTCCACAGACCCTAAGGAATACCAGCTCTGAGTCCTCTTAGTTTGAATACCCCTACCCTGAACAGGACACTTTAGTGTTATTTTTTTTTTTGTAGACATTATTATTTTAAAACCCCCAGTCCTGTATCCAGTCACCCTTGATAAGCTGTGGTTTGCTGATAATTCCACACCCAGCATCTAATTCAGATAGGTGACTAATAGCCACTTTTAAAAACCAAGACATTATACAAGTCCATTTTTAAGAGATAAATTTATAGTAAGATGAATTTTCATATAGTTTCTTTTATTATTAAGCCAATCCCCTTAGTGAAATCCACTTATGATTTACTCCAGGAAAACAGAAGGTTATATACATGCTACATAAAGCATGTGTTCTATTAAGAAGTGCTGGTATAGCGGTCTGTGTCCCTATTCCCTACTGGCAATTTGGGTAACCCCTTCAGAGGATGGCGTGATAAGAATAGGAGGTAGGAATTGGCTAGGCAGTTAGGGTAAAAAGGCCCCCAAAGAAAAATAAACAGTTTCTTGGCTAAAACTCACAATGTCCTTGGGCCTCTTAGCAACATATCCACATGGCAGCTAACAACTATCTGTAACTCCAGTTCCAGGGGATCCACCCTCTTCTGACTTCTGCGGGCACTGTATGACATGGGTGCACTTACATACATGTAGGCATTACAATCATACACATAATGTAAAAATTAAAATAATAATAATAATAAAATACATTTTTTTAAAAAGAAGTGCTGGCATGAGAGCTGATCCGAACATGCTCTTAGAACTATGGCTACTTGACACTGGCCCAAGGAAAGAATCAGTAAATCTCTGAACTACAGATGAATTTCTTCTCTCTCTATCGAGACTCCCAGACCCTCAAAACCATGTCAGTTCACCATGAAATCCATGATGTTGTTCAAAACACTTTGTGTTTCAATGAAAAACTTTAGCTTCAATATTCTTCAATGCATATAGAAAACATTGCTGACACTGAAGACCTCACTGCCCTTTCTTACTTACCCCCCCAGTAAGCAGACTTTCAACTGTGGATTTCCAAGAGCCCCCATGTACCCCAGGAACTCCACATAGTCTTCACGACTAGACTGGACCCTTCTTGGCTGATGGACCTTTTGAAAATGAGTTTAAAGAAAGAATAGTAATGTGGCTCCCTCCATAGATAGCCAGCCCAGACAGTGAGACAGAGATGGATTTGTAGGGATACAAGGAGCACTGTGCTGGCTCATACACAACAGAGAGGCAAAGTCATAGCAGCTTAAGGCCTCACTGGAGTATGAGTCCCCAAGTCCAGATGAAGTACCAGGTTTGTCTCTGCCAACACTGTCTACTGTCTGTAGACAAATCTTTTAGTTCCTGGGATAGGAGTATAGCTTAGTAGTACAGCTCTTGCCTTCCAAGTGTGAGGCCCTAAGTTCAATTCTCAGCACAGAGAGAGAGAGAGAGAGAGAGAGAGAGAGAGAGAGAGAGAGACAGAGAGAGAGAGAGACAGAGAGAGAATAAGGAGGACGAGGAGGAGGATTACTTTTGGTTCTCTGAAAATGCAATTTTCTCAGTGATATGAAAAGGAAAGTCAAAGAAGTGGCTAAAAAAAAGAGAGAGAGAGACAAACCCCCTAAACCTTCCAAGCATTTGATGCGACAGTACATAGTAGGTGTGAGTCTAGTGATTAAGTAGAAGATAAAGATACAGGGGACCTGATATAGTTCTCTTTAATCTCAAATTAGGCCCTAAGGGAGAAAGCCAGGCATAGTGGCTCATGTCTGTAATCCCAGCATTTAGGAGGCTGAGGCAGGAGGCTCATCATAAATTTCAGGCTAGACTGAACTACAGAATGAGATCCTATCTCAAAAACAAAATCACAACAACAAAGCTCTAGTGGAGAAAAGAAGAAAGTTGAGCCCATCGCTGGCTTCTACTGCCACACTGGACTCTATTTGTACACATGCATTACACAATACACATTTAAAAAGATGAGGACAGCCAGCCAGTCCTTAGCTTACTCAGGCAAGGAACAGATTCTTATTAAATAGGGCTCTCTGAGGAAGATGTCATAGAAAAAGCAACACAAATGTCCCATGGAAGGATTTGGGATTTTTCAGAAGATATTTCTCATTCTTTTAAGAGATCAGAGGAATAGGAAAAATTCCATTATATCAGTGTTGCTCAACGTGGAAAAGGTGGTGGATGTGAGGTGGTGGGGATTATAGGGATCAAACAAGTTGGGCAATGATAGATTATGATAGATTAAACTATTCAGTTTTTTTCATTGCAGGTCTCTTCAGGGATACAAGAAAAAGAAATACCAAATGTGTGATAAGACTATCAGAACTATGGTCCACAGAGTTCTTTATTATTTTTTATGATTTACTTTATTTTTAATTGTGTGTATATGTGGGAATCTGTGTATGGTTGAGAGTCCTTGATTCTTAAGGCTTCTCAAATGATCAGGGTTCTAAGAAACAGCTTTGGGGAAACTGTACCAGAGACAAAAGTTTCTAAGGTCAGGGACAAGGTCTTCTTTGTCAGGATCTGGCACACCAGAAAAACTTAGGAAAATAGAATACAAGTTTACTTAATGTCGAAGTAAGGGATTTTCTTAATTCCCAGTAGGAAGAATGATACCTAGAACAAAATAGTGGTGAGAGTATGCCACAGAGCCAGAAATCACATATGTGCAGGCACACACACACACACACACTCACATGCATATGTGTACCAGTCCCTTATCCTGAACTAACCCTTCACTGTCTAGGCTCTAGACAGGGCAGGTACAAGAAGGAGTTTATCATCTAAAGAAACCAAACACTATAGATCCACAATGCATCCTAGAAGTCTTTCTTTCTCCCGCATGCCCCCAAAGACAATAAGATAAAAATTCTGTGAAAAACATGAGCTTTTTATCTTTACTAAGAATGAATACAGAATCAGATGGGGGTGGGAGGAACTCTTTGATCCACAGGCTGTCTTCGTTTCTTTAGTGCCACCTGCTGGTTGCCAGTACATTTTAAAATGCTTGTATTTTACCGTGGAATTCCAAGCGTTTGTTTAGACCCTTCAATCTCTTATGCTATCACACAAATTAGAAGGATTAGGGTGACCTTTGTTCTTTTTCTTGAGTTGAAAGCAACCTAGAAGCGATTTTTGACCACTGATAGAAAGTTAGGAGCAGGACCAGGACATACACCAGGACTGCTTGTTTTCCAAACACTGGGGCTTTGTGTAGCTATAATCTGCAAAGTGCACAATCACTCTCTGATCCCTGCACAAACTCACTTTGAATGGAAAATGCCATGCCTTTAGGAAAGAAGATAATGTTCAAACACACCTGGATCTCTTCAAGGGTAAAATCTACTGTCCTTTACAAAGTCTTGGAAGAAAGCATGTAAATGGTCAAAAATTGTTTTGTGTTTGTTTTGAGATGAGATCTCACTATGAAGCCCTGGCTGGCCTGGAATTTGCTATGTGGACCAGGCTGGCCTGGAACTCACAGAGATCTGCCTCTCTCTGCCTCCCAAGTGCTGGGATTAATGCTGTATACCACCAAATCTGGCAAAAACTACTATCTCATCTGACAGTCTAGATATAATGCATTATGCCCTACTGCCCCAAGATGGTGATTGGCCAGCCCCTTTGCAAGCATACCTTGGTCTGGAAGCAGCAATACAGTTGGGTTAGATAAGGGTGTTTTCGTGCCAGAGCCAAAATCCTCTTCTCTGTCATCGTGCAGTCCACGTCATCATCTTGAAGGATAACGTCCTTCTTTAAGACTTTCACAGCATATACTTCATCTTTGCCTTTGAGTTCTGCCAACATGACCTGAAATCAATTATAATGATCCTCATCAATCTATTGTGCACATGGAATCAAAGGGCAGGAGGAACACAATATCAAATGTTCTAAACACCAGTTTCTCTTTTCCTTTCATTCTGAATAGAACAGCATTAAAAACGTTTAGGAACGCTGTCCATCCTAATATTAAAATGTGTTTCTTTTTTCTCTGTCACAGTGATAAGAAAGAAGTTCAAGTTCAATGAACTTCTGTTAAATGATGATATATTCACATGCATTAGTAATACTTGTAACAAATGGTAAAATAAATACAGTATTTTTCTCTGTCTTTTTCTCTTTCTCTTCTCTTTTGTCTCTTCTCCCCACCCCACTCCACCCCGCTTTATTCAATAGGTCTCACTATGTTGTTCAGATGGGTCTTGAACTCATGGAACTTCTTCAGCCTCCCAAGTGCTGATATTATAGATGTGCACTACCATACCACACGTTAGTATAATACTTTCATAAGAAACAGTGTTTTATATGCATTTTACAAGATCTCCAGAATTATTATGATTGCTGATACCCAGGTTCAAAACAGATATACTACAATTTATTTAAGCTATCTTCCTCACATTGGAAACTTGTTATATTGAATTAAATGCTATCTAAGTTGCACTCAGTATTTCTGGACACAATTTAAAATTTTCTTTTATATTATATCCTTGAAATAGAACTTATCAGAATTACGTTAAAGGATCAAACATTTTACACATTTCCTAATTGATTTGCAAGAAGGCTAAACTCACATGGTGTGCTGGTAGCCATGCAGAAGTATTTTGTTTCATGGCATTTAACATCATGGGGCCTTTTGCTTACAAAGGTTTTTGTTTGCTTGCTTGCTTCCCCTTATTTAGCAGGTGGGAAATGTTATCTTGATGCTGTTTTCAACTGGCAATGAAATTTTGGAATACCTACTTTCTAATTGAATTGCTTTCAGGGTGAATTATTTCTCTCCTTCATCTGGTTATTTGCTATATTCTATCATTTCTCACAAATCTGTTATATATGCTATGTAAAAACCCCTTGCAGGGTTGGAGAGATAGTTCAGCAGTTGAGAGCACTAGCTGCTCTTACAGAGAACCCAGGTTCAATTCCTAGCACCCATATGGCACCTAACAACCGCTTGTAACTCCAGTTCCAGGGGCCCTCTGCTGACATCTGAAGGCATTCACAACACAGGTGCACTTTCATACATGCAGGCAATACACTCATATACATAAAAAATAAAAATAATAAATATATGTTTTAAAACCTCCTGCTTTCTGCAAAGGCCTTCCTAAGTCTGTTTCACAATTGTCTGTTATTTTCCCTACTCAACAGAATTCTCTATTTTGATATACTTCAACCTGTCCATTGTTTGCCTTTACGATTTCTCCTATAGCTTACGGTTGGAAACGTGATTCCTTCTCCCGACAGCTAATAAACAGCTCTATTTTTTTTTCATTTGCTTATCATTTGGTATTTTTTTCTGTACTCATTTATCTTTCAAAGTCACAAGTATTTCTCTGTTTACATGACTTGTAATAACAGTGTTCCAGTGTTGTCAAAGTGAAACAGGGCAATCCAGGGAGCTTGTGAGGTTAACCTGAAGACTTCACCACCCACGCCAAGCACAGACTGGAAGACTTGCTCAAACCTTGGCTGTCATGGCCGTAGTTTTTCCTAATAAACCAGGTAAGTGCTCCAGAACTCTCAAAGCTCCCATCCTGCCTACAGCATGTGCAAGCCTAGAAGCTCTGAGCATGCTCACTTCTCTTGTTTCTTGCTCAGAATCAAACCTAGCCCTGTTTACAGCCCAGAGTCACTCAGAGGCCTTGGGTCTGTTTCTTATTTAGCTAGTCTCTTTAAAAAATGTGATTGCTTCAGCTGTTGCCATTTGAGTAAACAGCTACGCCCCTGCCAGGTGATCTCAGGACAGATAGGGGCTGGTGAATGCCGGCAAAGCAGGCCCTGAGCCTAGGGGTTTTGTGGAGCCTTTCTTCAGAATTGCTCTTGAATGTCAGGATGGGCCTGCAGCTCACCCTACAGACTAATCCCATGAGCTTCTGCTTTCTAGAGCTCAGGACACATTGAGGACATGTGACCCTGGGAAATGCCTGGTCTCCGAGCAGAGCCTCTGCTTGAAGACGTCCCCAAAAGGCAATGCCTAGACACAGCAAGGGACAGTCACAGATCTGAAATGCTCGCCAGCCTCCTGGCTCCCTGCCCTGCCTCTTCCTAAAAACAAATGGATTGTCTTTTGCACCTCATCAGGCCATCAGAATGGTGGCTTCTCACCATCAGTGCTACACTGAGCACACAGAAAGGCACAGCCCCACAGTGGAGAGCAGGATAGAGAAAATGTCCTCAAGGACAGAGCAAGCCTGATCCACTCCATGATTATCCAGTTCTCTTGTCATGTTACAGAACAGGGAAATCAGTTACAGAACACTCTACTTCCAAAGTACTACAGGGTAAGATTCGCTCTGAACCTCAAGTTCTTGGGGGTGGGGGACTTAATTGTTTATGCTCAAATTCTTCATAATGAAATAGCAAAATTTCAGATGTCTAGCTGCACAGAGGAAGAAACATACCGATGTGATTGAGAGTGGAAAACTGAGCACATGCCAAACACATGAAACCTTTCAGCATGCTCCCTCACCCACTCATCCCTGGCCCCATTTGACAAAGGAGAACAACTGAGTCCTACAGAGAAGAAATGTCCATATTCCCACAGATAATGGCCAACAGAGCCAGGGCGCCTGTCAACTTAGGCCTCAGCGCACTTCTACTGTATAAGGAAGGAGAAGGTAACAAGACCAGGCAGAACCTCTCTGCACTGAATCCTTTTTTTCTCCTTCCTTCCTTCCTTCCTTCCTTCCTTCCTTCCTTCCTTTCTTCCTTTCTTCCTTTTCTCTTTCTTTCTTTTATTTCTTTGCAAAACATAGTCTCATGTAGTCCAGGCTGGCCTCCAACTTGCTAACCAAGGATGACCTTGAACTCCTGGTCTTCTTTCTCTCTCTCCTGAGACAGGGTCTCCCTATAGCCCCAGTTGGTCTGGAACTCACTATGGAGACCAGGCTGACCTCAGTCTCACAGAGATCCACCTGCCTCTGCCTCCTGAGTGCTGAGATCAAAAGCATGCACCACACACAGCCCTTCCTCACCAAATCTTAAATCAGACAGATGAGGCAATGTCAAGGGTAGAGAAAACCAGCATCACCACCCATGTGTGCCACAGACCTTGCCAAAGCTGCCTTTGCCCAACACCTTGATGAAGTTGAACTCATCCAGACCCAAGCGCTTGGCCTGGCCTTGCCGGACTTCACCATTCTCGCCAGGGCTTGCCAGTTGACCATCATTAGATGATGATGCCCGGTGTTCCTCCCCTCGGTTGTCAAACGACAAGGCCTTCCGGATGTTATTTTCAAGTTCTTTTAGTTCTAGAGCCAAGGATAAGAAAGTATCAAATTAGCATATACTTCGTGAACCCTTTGAATTAGGGTTCAATACCCAGAATTGTTCCCCCATGAGCTCTCAACCCTCCTTCAGTTCTTCACAGCAGCATACCCAGGGGGCATCCTTCTGCACATTTCTTTGTCTAACACGTTTCCTTTGGTACCCTATATACAGCAGGACCTCAATCTGCAAGGAGGAGGGGGCATGGTCCCTGGTCTGATGGAGTTGACTGCCACCAAAGACCTCTCTGAAAATTTCCTAGTAACCTTGTTCTTAATTCTAGATGTGGTAAGAATTCATGTCTTTTCAGGAATTCTGCAGAGTCTCAAAGACAACAGGTACCCTTCAAGTTTCCTTTGAAAATTAGAACAAGTTATTTGAAAGCATGATCACAGTCATCACTGGTGATAGAATAATTCACTCACAGGGACTAGTAAATCTTTGTCTTCTAAAGGTCTTTACTTTGATGCTGGGTTTACCATGAGTACTTGTCCCACACAAGCCTACCTAACAGCACGAAACACAGGCTTACCATCAACAAAATAGCTTCCCACAATAACATGCTACAAATTTATCTCTGATGGAGCAGGAATTTCTCAGTATAATTTCATAACTATGAGATGGTCTTGTGGCCCTCTAGAGTGTGTGACCTAAATTACCTGGGGATAATAGTGCTGGGTGGCCCCTTGACCCTTTCTATTTGAAGAAGCTTTACAGTTGGCTGTTCATTCACCAACACACACATTCATCTGTGTAGAAATGAGTATCTTGACATAATCAAAGTGTAAAAGATTTTCATGAATAACAGGGATTACAGAGAACAGAGACTATTTATCTCTTGGAATGGAATCAGATGAGTGGCCAGTACCTCTTAGTAGGAAGATGTTTGGCTTCTTTCCAGCAGGACTGTAGCCATAAGGGCCCAAGCAGGGGATCAGGAGTGAGCTTAGGTCGAGAGTAAGCTCCTCTGAGATGGGCTAGGGCTGTAGAATTGGGCTGGGAAGAGGTAGGGATGACATCTAAGTGTACAGACATCCCCGTGATGAACCAGCAGGTTGCCCACCTACCTACCTCACACCTAAGTCTCATCTGAGAGCTGAAAAACTCCATTACTAACAGCATTTTGGAAGACAGAATCTAGATGTCTGGAGACCCCAAAGCTTAAAAAAATGCCTCTCTGAATTCTTGTAATGGAGGAAAGATAAAGACCTGTTTATTTGTTTTGTGATGGTGCTGTCATGCTAAGGGGCTTTCCAGTCCATTATTTCTCTTCTCAGGCTGGCAAACAGGGTACCTGCCTTGCCTGGTGCCTTTGTCTGAATCAAGGCTCTGATGCAGACAGGAGCCAGGCCTGAAAACCATGGGTGCCTCACTCTACTTGGATCTACATTTGACCTGTCTCTTTGAAGTCCCAGAGAACACTTCGATAATAAAAGGGGAAAAGTGAAAAACACCATGCTGGTCCAGGATAGCACCTCTAATACTTAGGAGTGAATAAAATCTCTTTTGGAATAAAGACTCAGAAAGGGAATCAAAGCAACAGGAGAAAAAACTGACACCAAGTATTTTGTGGCCTCAGGATTGGCAAATGGAACCTGAAGCTGTTTCACTCACTCCTGGGTAAGAAGGGCTGCGTTACAAGTCATGAACTCCAAGGTGGATTTCATGGTACAGGAAAGGCACTGGCCTGGCCTGATCACTAACTTAGTTTTCAGCCTTGGGGAACGCATTTTAAACTCCAACCTTTCACTTCTCAACCTGTGACCTGGTTGAGCACCCACGTGGTATGAGCATACTATTAGGAACAAGACCACAGAACAGCTGCAGAAAACACAGCCGCCCCCCCCCCCCGCCCCC